AAATAAAATTGATAAACCTTCAGCCATGCTAATGAAGAGAAGGAGAGAGAAAACTCAAATTACTGACATCTGTGATGAAAAAGGAAATAYCATGACAGATACTACAGAAATACACAAGATAATTAGAGATTATTTTGAAAACTTGTACTCCAATAAAATAGAAAATTCCGAAGGCATTGACAAATTTCTAGAGTCACACGATTTGCCCAAACTGAACCTGGATGATATGCACAATTTAAACAGATCAATTTCAAGCAATGAAGTAGAGGACACAATCAGAAACCTACCAACCAAAAAAAGCCCAGGACAGGATGGATACACAGCTGAGTTCTATAAGAACTTTAAAGAAGAACTAATACCAGTATTCCTCAAATGATTTCATGAAATAGAAAAAAAGGGAACCCTTCCAAACTCATTCTATGAAGCCAATATCATAGACAGGCAAAGACACATGAAAGAAAGAAAACTTCAGACCAATATCTCTAATAAACATAGATGCAAAAATGCTCAATAAAATTCTGGCAAAGCGAACACAAAAACATATCAAAAAGATAGTGCTCCACAATCAAGTGGGGTTCATCCCAGGGATGCAAGTTTGTTTCAACATACAGAAATCAATAAATGTAATTTATCACATTAATAGACTCAAAGATAAGAATCATATGATCCTCTCAATAGATGCAGAAAAAGAATTTGACAAAATATATCATCCCTTCATGTTCAAAACACTAGAAAAACTAGGGATAACAGGTACTTACCTCAATATTGTAAAAGTTATCTATGCTAAGCGCCAGGCCAACATCATTCTAAATGGAGAAAAATTGAAGGCATTCCCTCTAAAAACTGGAACAAGACAGAGATGCCCTCTTTTACCACTTCTCTTTAAAATAGTTCTTGAAATACTGTTCAGAGCAATTAGACAGATGAAAGAAATTAAAGGGATACAGATAGGAAAAGAAGAACTCAAATTAGCACTATTTGCCAAGGATGATTCTATGTATAGAAGACCCAAAAAATTCCACCAGAAAACTTCTAGAACTTGTGAATGAATTTGGCAAGGTAGCAGGATATAAAATCAACACCCATAAATAAAATGCATTTCTGTATATCAGTGATAAATCCTCTGAAAGAGAAATGAGGAAAACGATCCAATTTACAATAGCCTCAAAAACAAACAAACAAACAAACACCTGGGAATCAAYTTAACCAAAGAAGTGAAAGACCTGTACAGTGAAAACTACAGAACACTAAAGAAAGAAATTAAAGAAGATCTTAGAAGATGGAAAGATCTACCTTGTTTTTGGATAGGCAGAATTAATATTGTCAAAATGACCATATTAYCAAAAGCACTATACAGATTTAATGCAATTCCAATCAGTCATAAAAAGCAGTTATGAAATTCATCTGGAAAAATAGGAGACCCAGAATAGCTAAAGCAGTCTTTAGCAAGAAGAGTGAAGCAGGTGGCATCACTATACCAGACCTTAAACTATACTACAGAGCTATAGTAACAAAAATAGCACGGTATTGCCACCAAAATAGACTTGCAGACCAATGGTACACAATAGAGGACACAGAGACAAACCCACAAAAACACTTATCTCATATAGACAAAGGTGCCAAAAACATATATTGTAGAAAAGATAGCCTCTTCAACAAATGGTGCTGGGAAAACTGGAAATCCATATGCAACAAAATGAAATTAAACCCCTATCCCTCCCCATTTACAAYTCAACTCAAAGTGGATCAAGGACCTAGGAATTAAACCAGAGACCCTGCACCTAGTAGAATAAAAAGTAGTCCCAAATCTTCATCATGTTGGATTAGGCCCCAAATTCCTTAAAGAGACTCCTAAAGTGAAAGAATTTTAAAATCAAGAATCAATAAATGGGATGGATTCAAACTCAAAAGCTTATTCTCAGCAAAAGAAATAATCAATAAAGTGAATAAAAAGCCTACAGTGAATAGAGAGCAAATTTTTACCACATGTACATCAGATAGAGCACTAATCTCTAGGATATATAAGTCAAAAATCTTAACACCAAAAAAAAAAAAAATCAAATCACCCAGTCAATAAATGGGCCAAGGAACTGAACAGACACTTCTCAGAAGATGATACACAATCAATCAACAAATATATGAAAAAAATGCTTAATATCTCTAGCAATTTGAGAAATGCAAATCAAAACTACTCTAAGATTTCATCTCACTCCAGTCAGAATGGCAGCTATTAAGAAAACAAACAATAATAAGTGTTGGCGAGGATGTGGGGAAAAGGGCACACTCTTACATTGCTGTTAGGAATGCAAATTGGTGCAACCAATCTGGAAAGCAGTACGGAAATTCCTTGGAAAAGTGGGAATGGAACCACCATTTGACCCCGGTGTCCCACTCCTCAGTTTATACCCAAAGGACTTAAAAACAGTATACTATAATAATGCAGCCACATCAATGTTTATAGCAGCAGAATTCACAATAGCTAAATTGTGGAACCAACCTAGATGCCCTTCAGTAGATGAATGGATAAAGAAAATGTGRGATATATACACAATGGAACTCAGCAATAAAAGAGAGTAAAATCATGGCATTTGCAGGTAAATAGATGGAGCTGGAGAATATAATGCTAAGTGAAGTAAGCCAATCCCAAAAAACCAAATGCCAAATGTCTTCTCTGATATAAGGATGCAGATTCATAATGGGGATGGGGGGAGCATGGGTGGAATAGAGAAACTTTGGGTAGGACAAAGAGAGGGAGGGGAAGCAGGGGCATGGGGGTAGGAAAGAGGGCAGAATGAGACAGTCATCATCATCCTAAGTACATGTATGAAACACGAATGGTGTGAAGCTACTTTGTGTTCAACCAGAGACATGAAAATTTGTGCTCTATTTGTGTAATATGAATTGAATTTCATTCTGCTGTCATATGTAACTAATTAGAATAATTAAAATTTTTAAATTACAAAAAAAAAATCCAACAAACTGATTGTATAACCAAACACAGGCAGGTTGAGAAGTGAACTCTGGTACAAAGATGAGGGGCTTTGAAGTCAATGCATCTTTAGGGAAAATCTAGACGCTTCTGAAGGCATAATTTTGGCATATCATCACCTCCCTCATAAGACCATTGTATAATAATGTGTTAAAGAGTTTATTATAGCTAGGTACAGTGACCCATGCCTGAGGGTAAGGCAGGAGGATCACAAGTTCAAGGYCAACCTCAGCAACTTATAAAGGCCCTAAGCAACTTATTGAGACCCTGTCTCAAAATAAAAAATAAAAATGGGAATGTGGCTCAATGGTTAAGTACCCCTGGGTTCAATTCCCAGTACCAAAATAATAATAGTAATTAAATTTAAAAAGTAGCACAGTGAGTGATCCAAAAAATCATAAGTGTTTAACATTTTTTAATGCCTCTCATACCTGACACATATTGGGAAGTATTAAAGAAGATCTGTGCAGTCTTCCTCAAAGCATATAACTAATATAGCAAATAAAGGAACTGCAAGCATTTTAGCTATGATTTGCCCATATCTAGTTAAACTAGATTCTTTCTCTCTTTTTTCCCCATCTTTTCTTTTTTTTKGGGGGGGGAGTTATTAATTTTTTTCTCTTTCCACATAAGCACATAGATTATTTTCCTCCAGAATTTCATCCTTAAAAACGAACAGCTCTCCAATGTATTTGAATATTTATTTTTCTTCTTTTCCCAAAGGGAAGAGCAGGAAGTGAGAGTCACTGAACCAAATCGAGAGAAATCTGACAGCCGATTAATTTCTGCAGCACTAGTACAGAACACAGGACTGGCTTTGAGGTCACAGAAATGACCTTTGTGAACTTCCAGTGACCACACCTATCTTAGGTGCAAAGTTGCATTCACACCTCAGCTGCATCCCACCTTACATTATATTGGCTTGACAGGGTTGAATGCAACCCTGCCTGATAGTTTTGCAAAAACCTGACCCCATGTAGATTTTTTAAAGGAATTCCCCTCCCCATTAAAATATTGTTTTCACTTGTGTTGAATCCATATGGCCATTTCCAAGATCCTTTTGAAGTACATCTGAAAAACGAGCATTCTCTAAGACCAATTCATAGCCATTCCTCTTGGCTGCTAAAGTGATGTTCCCAAGCCAAAGTAGCAATGACGTTGAGTACAATTTTTACTCCACTGCTCCTTTTCCTATTTTCACAATAATAGGAGCTATAGTCTGGAAGAAATAAGGGCCTTTGGCTGTACATAGCCTACCACCTGTGAGCATGGGGCAGAAAAGGCCGGAACCCCACTGTGCAGGGCCTGTAATATCAAGTCATTTACCAAGTACAAAAGCCAGCAGAAAAATATTCCATGTAGTATATTACAGAACTCTTTTATCCATTCTATTGCACTGGGCATGAATTGCACTTATTARTTAAGGCACATATACCTTGAAAGTGAATGAATGGAACAACACTCAGAGGAAGGATTAGTATGTTGCTGAGGGGAAGAATGTGTCCTACATTTTTTAGAGGAAGTAGAAATATTAGGTCAGCATCTTAAAGTCTCAATCCATTCAATCTTTCAAAATTGCAAATTAATTCTTATTTTGCTTGGTTGTTTGCCATTGAAATTTAACTCCTTATTTGGTTTTTACGAATTAAAAAATAGAGCCAGGCGCACTGGCACACGCCTGTAATCCCAGCAGCTTGGGAGGCTGAGACAGGAGAATCGCAAGTTCAAAGCCAGCTTCAGCAACTGTGAGGCGCTAAGCAACTCAGTGAGACCCTGTCTCTAAATAAAATACAAAATAGGGCTGGGGATGTGGCTCAGTGGTCGAGTACTCTGTCCCTGGTACAAAAAAAAAAAAAAAAAAAGACGAGGGGGCGGAGGGAGAGAGAGATATCAGGAATTTGGTAGAAACCTTGTTGTTTAAAAACTATTTAAAAGAAGAAGAAGAAGAAGAAGAAAATGTAGAACAACCAAATAAAATGCTTTAGTGCAATTTTTCTTCTCTCTCTCATCATGTCAATTGATAATATGCTGATGCCATTATAAGATTTGAGGAAAGCACATCTCACACAATGGCATAAAAACCCAATTCACACTTAGGAACCACAAGAGGATCTTATGATGAAATATTTTATTCAAGGATATATAGTAATAGTAGAAATAAATGGATACATTTAACTATCTTCATTACAACATGAAATGAAATTTCATAAGACTATAAAAGTGATTTTTATTATTTTGGTAATACTGTCCCATTATAGATAATCCCAGATACATTTTTTTAATTTGGTATATCAAACTGTAAAAGCTATATATTAATGTTGTGCCTCCAGAATCTATTTTGGTTACACCTATGTACCAYAGCTGCTATATGTATACACTAAAAGCATACATGATAAAGTATAAAAATATGAAAAGGTTAAATAAGGAGTTATTCTTGAGTTATAATCACATCTACTAAAGTATACTTTTCTATCACACAGTTGTGTCACAGCTAAAAACATACAAATTAATATATATTGCTATGCCACTATTTGATCTAATATAGATCTACTATGAAAATATTAAGGGTGTGGTAACATTTCACAGGTAAAGGCTAAGTTCTGGGACATGAAAGCTTTTAGATAATACACAAAACAAACCTGAGACATCTTTTTATTTTGGAAAAATACATTTCTTACACAGTCAAAGCTTTAACATATAAGTGAGGCATTTAATAAACAATATACTTTAACTACTATGATAACCTGAAGTAGATGTTCTGACTTTAATGGTGATCAGCAAATAACTAACTCTGGCAGAAATAAAATGAGGTTTTCTGATTAAGCCAGTAATCTGATTACCATAGTCACCAAATTTGGTTATTTTTATTCATTTTTGGTTTTATTTTCCTTCCTTTAACTAGGTTATAAACATACTAAATAAGACAGGAAACCTCCAAGCACCTAGGTTTTCTCATATAAGCCCAGCTTTCCCTTTGCCTCAAGCATCCAGGGACAACTGAGCTCAATATAAAAAAAAAAAACAGGTGATCACATTCTGGACCTGGTTGGTAATGAGGCATCCAGATCAGTGCCTTAATATTTTTGCTATTACACATCTCTCAGAATAAATTGGCTACAGGAGGCCAGAGTTATTGTCTGCTGGGGCATAACTTTTTGAAATAGTGCCTAAAAACTGAAGTGTATTGGGTAAGCCTAATTTGTTTAATTGGCTTTAATGCCTTTAAAAATACTGGCACAACTTTTCATCTTCAAAAGATATAATTATGAAATTTTAAAATAAAAAATTGTATTAATATGATATTCCAAACTACAAAATAGATCTGCTATATTACAGATTTTTAAAAAAATCTAGAGATTTAATGCTGGCACACCAAACATCTTTTTTTCCTAAATGTTCGTGCTTCAAATTTTGTGCTTCAGTTAAATTAATCTGGAACGGTGGGAAGATGCTTAGCCATCTTTCTGTTTCTCTTCCGACCACCCACATATTAAACCATTGTACACTCCTTCCTTTGAATTTTGATTTTAAAATTCAAAAAAAAAAAGCTTAATAAAAGAGAGCAAACAGTAAGCTCTCAGGATTCTGTAGAATTTGTTTTGGAAGTTCCACTGCAATGAAAATAAAAACGTGAAGCCTCCTTTGTATACTTTTGTATTCTTTCCATCTCTTTTTAAAAAATGTTTTCAGGTTATTTCATAATCCATACATCTTATTCAAGTTTCTTTTTTTTTTTTCAGCTCCCAAAGCAATTTATCCCAAATAACACAACCGATGTGATCAGCTCCTGTGTCTTAGAGTGCTCCTCTCAAAACAGCCTCCAAAGAGGCTGATCCTGATTCTGACATTTAAAAAAACAAACATCAATGCTAAACTGCTTAATCACTTAAAAGAGAAACTAATCAGTTATAATGGGAATTCCCCCCTTGTTACCTATGAAAGAGAACATCCAGATAATTCATGGTATTTTCATTCTCCTCCCAGCAAATGTTAGATTGTCTCGCTTTCCAAATGATTGTCAGATTCCTAATAGTTTCAATTGGAACTCAGTAATCAAAAARGACTTTAAATTAACTGAAAATTTAACATGCTAAGAGTTTGAAATTTCAACGTATTAACTGCATCAATTTCAAAAGGAGAAACTATATTGTGAATACAATTTTAATAAAACATTATAAAATAAGAATACATCTTACTAACCTAATTTTGGGATCTGTTCATTGTCCAAAACTTGGATGAGAAAAGAAATCTTGCTTTGACTTGATTTTTCATGTCAAAAAAATAGGTGGTTGATTTAATCATGCTTATTTAAGGTATTGGAACCATACCTTGTTGAACTGATTGTACTTTTTGATTTTCAATATAATATGAGACATACTATTCCACCTTTTCATGATCAAAATAATTAATATTAACATACTGTTTATGAACGATTATGTAATGTGTATATATCTGTGCATAGATATGTATATATACATATATGTTAAATACTATTTGGTGACATGGGTGTGTTTTTTTTTTAGCTTATAAGACTTGCTGACATCAGAACATTACAATCATATAACTGAAAGTTTAGCTGAAATGGCAAATATTTTTTTTTTCTCAAAATTGAAACACTGTACCTTGGCAACCAAGAGAGAGGTACAAGTTCAGCTTGGAATTTTGCAGTCAAATAATTTACACTTTAAATTTCATGATAAATCTCTGAAATGCACTCCAATAATTAATTCAACTATTAATTTCTTTTTAAGCAACTGACTTTATGATTCATCCTGAAGTAGGGAAGCAAAAAGTTAAATCTACTCAGGGGTACTACAGTCTCTCCAAGCCGTTTTGCTAAAAAGGTAAGAAGGGAATTTCTGGTCTTTACATTTTCTCTTATCACCCTCAGTCATATACCTTACACTGAAATCACTTGCCTTTGCATCTTCAATACATCCTGAAATTTTGCTTAGTACAATTTTCCATGAAAATGATTTCTGCACATAGAGGCTCAACCTCAGATCCACTAAAAATGCATAATTACTGAAATACTTCATTAGATAACTGTGTGCATATGTATATGTATCTGTTAACTCCAAAGAATACTCCCTTAAGAAATTATTATTACCATGATCCAATATAAATTCCTTGTGTCCTATGACTCTGTGATTCAAAAACTTTTCCCAGAGCTCCTGCACCTCACAAGGAGCTACTCAGTGGKGAACAAGCCTCTCCTACAGGCTTCTTGATTTACATACATCTTAGAGGCTAATTGAGAAGTGGCATCAAAGAGGAATTGGAGGGGGGGAACAAAACAAAACAAACCACTAAATTTTCCTCCTCATCCCCCGAGACTTCAATTTCGGCTTGCTTTCTGGCTTCTCATTGGCCAGCTTCCTCGGTTTGCAACTTTTGGACAGCACTATCGAGGAGCTCCATGGACTCTCTGAGAGCGACGTGAATTTTAAAGAACTTGGGTTTAATGGTCAGGCCATAACTGAAGCTCATTTTCGAGGGCTCGTTTTGGTTGGCCTTGAAATTGCACTGGTGAGCCAGGATGGAGATGAAGAGAAACAGCAGCATCTTAGACAGCTCTTCGCCGATACACCGCCGCTTGCCCACGGAAAAAATCATGACGCTGCTGGCCAGCTCCTTGTTAATGAAGCCGTCTTTGTCCAGGAATCGGGCTGGATCAAAGTCCTCCGGGTTAGGCCACTTCACCGGGTCATGATTCACAGACCACTGGTTTACAAAAATCACCGTGTCCTTAGGGATGTAGTAACCCAAAACGAAGGTGTTGGCAGTGGTGGCGTGGGGGATGGTGACAGGCATAAAGCTGGAGAACCGCATGGTTTCGTAGAGAAAAGCCATAACGTAGGGCAGGTTAGGCTGGTCACCCATACAGGGCAGGCGGTTCCTCCCCACCACCTGATCCAATTCGGCCTGCACGCGAGCCTGCACGTCAGGATACCTATTCGGGGTTTTAATGTAAAGGAGGAAAAAAAATTGAGTAAGCAAAATTAATTCTTCCTTCATTTAGAAGTACATTACAATTTAGTTTAATTCCACTGTCTTTAAACAGGCTTAGTTAATGACTGAATGGATACTTCTGGGGCCCCCAAAAAAAAAAAAATCTAAAACAGATTGCTAATTTTTCTATAAATTTCAAGATGGACTTTAACAATTATATTTTCCGTAGTAAAACTTACATAACTAAAGCTCTCCCCCATTATAAGTCAAAAAATTCTTAAGTTTCCTTATTTTGAAAATGCACAATAATGGCCAACCTGACTTCTCCATTAAACACTAAAAGCACAGGGCCTAGGGCTCATAATACTTTGGAGGGGCCTTAAAAATGTTTTCCTGACTTTAAAAATCTTCAGACCTAAAAAAATAAACTTTTAGGTAGAAAAAAAGTCTTAATATATAATTTTTAATGTGTCCAGTTTTATATATAGTTTTAAAGCRTTTTATAGAATAAGGAGTCCACAAAGACAAAAGTTTCCAGGACTCACAAAACTTATGATGCAGACCTAAAAGCAGATCCCTTTTCTTGCCCTCATTTCCCTGGATAATTCCTTGTTCTTAATTTATAAAATATTTTGGGTATCCTGGTAGAAAAAGTTGTGCATTTTCTAAACTTAAAAGCAAATTCCCAATGTTTGTAAGAATGTGGTACAAATAGTAATAATTATGCACTGCTCTTAATACAAAGTGGTACAAATCTTTTAAAAGACAAAATCTTAATTCAAAACAAGCTTCACAAGGTAACCACCCCCCCCTCATTTAAAATCCAATAATTTATACCTAATAATGTATTTTCATTAAATAATCTGACAGGTACAATAACATATAACCACAACAATAGCTAAAATTGAAAATGCAATCAAAGTCAGTGACTCATGTTAAAGCTCAAGAAATGTTCATACACACACATATACTATTATGGCAATTTATTGTGTAGCTATAAAAATTACTAAAATTAACATTAAAAGATGTGAAATGCCCACTAAAACAAGTAGAAGTCAAAAAAACACATACTCATTTTGTTGTGATCCTGAAAAAAATAATTAAGCATGTATGGGATGAAATTATGGAAGATTTTAAAAAATCTCTTCAACATCTCGATG